GGGCCATTATTGTAGAAGTTATGCTGTTTTTTTCACTTTTCAGCATATATGCAACCCCGTAAACACATTTTAAGGAAAACCATTAGGCCTGCTGTCATGAAACTCCCAGGAGTAATCAATCTTACCAAAACACAGGTCAAGTTCGAAAATCGGCATGATTGGGCTTCTATTTTAGTAGTTATGCGGTTTTTTCATTTTTCAGCATATATGCAACATTGTAAACACAATATAAGAAAAACAGATAGGCCAATTGTCATTAAACTCGCAGGAGTGGTCAATCTTACTAAAACGCAGGTTGAGTTCGAAAATCAGCATAATCGGTGCATTATTTTAGAAGTTATGTTGTTTTTTCACATTTCCTCAGATTCAACTCTTAGGCATGTTAACATTCTCATTATTGAACTAATAAGATACGTAAAAGTGTTTGTTTAACATTTCCTGCATCTTTACAACATTGTTAGTTGATTATATAAAAATGATGGTAAACTTGTTATCGTGTATTGTGTAATAAAGTGTCAAAAATGGAAATAAACTCATAATTGCAGTTTGTCAGATTCAATCATTCACTATGTTCAGAATCTCAGAATGGAGGGAATTGGACATTTAACACTATTCTATTGATATTTTTCCCATCTCATCAATTTTCTTACTTGATCATATAAAAATTGCAGTAAATTGTTTATTTTGTTTTATGTTTAAAAAAGTGTTAAAAATGGAAATAAACCCATGTCAGAACAGTGCTGTCTTGTTTCACATTTCCTCAGATTCAATTCTTAGGCATGTTAACAGTCTCATTATTTAACTAATAAGACATGTAAAAGTGTTTGGTTGACATTTCCTGCATCTTTACAACATTATTGGTTGATTTTGTAAAAATGATGGTAAACTTGTTATCGTGTATTGTATAATAAAGTTTCAAAAATGGAAATAAACTCATATCATTGCAGTTTGTCAGATTCAATCATTCACTATGTTCAGAATCTCAGAATGGAAGAAATTGGACATTTAACACTGTTGTATTGATATTTTCCCATCTCATCAATTTTCTTAGTTGATCGTATAAAAATGGCAGTAACCTGTTAATTTTGTTTTATGTTAAAAAAATTGTTAAAAATGGAGAAAAAAAAAACATTTCAGAACAGTGCTGTCTTGTTTACATTTTGGCATTTTCAAGTTGTGACTTTGAAGTTCCATGGGCCTGAAGACCTTTGCTAGTCACATTTTCTGAATATCCATGATACTAATATTTTATTATTAAAAATTGATGGTCATTATGCTGTTAAACATTATGTAATATTGCATCAAAATTTGAAAAAAACCTATTTTGGGCACTGCTCCCATGATGACCATTTAAGAAAAACCATGTCACTTACTGTTCTCAAACAGTACAGTAAATATGTACAGATGTATCTGTACATATTGCCATCACCTGCGTCTGTCGTCGCCGTCGTCGCCGTTGCCGATGCCGATGCTGGTGCCATGCACTTTCCTTGTAAACACAATAAGTGGAGGGCAGTTTTTTGCTTTATATTTACAGAGCTGATGAATATTCATAAAACGCAGGTCAAGTTCGAAAATCAGCATGATCGGGCCATTATTGTAGAAGTTATGCTGTTTTTTCACTTTTCAGCATATTTTTCACATTTCCTCAGATTCAATTCTTAGGCATGTTAACAGTCTCATTATTAAACTAATAAGATACGTAAAAGTGTTTGTTTGACATTTCCTGCATCTTTACAACATTGTTAGTTGATTTTGTAAAAATGATGGTAAACTTGTTATCGTGTATTGTGTAATAAAGTTTCAAAAATGGAAATAAACTCATATCATTGCAGTTTGTCAGATTCAATCATTCACTATGTTCAGAATCTCAGAATGGAAGAAATTGGACATTTAACACTGCTCTATTGATATTTTTCCCATCTCATCAATTTTCTTAGTTGATCATATAAAAATGGCAGTAACCTGTTAATTTTGTTTTATGTTGAAAATTGTTAAAAATGGAGAAAAAAAAAACATTTCAGAACAGTGCTGTCTTGTTTGCATTTTGGCATTTTCAAGTTGTGACTTTGAGGTTCCATGGGCTTGAAGACCTTTGCTAGTCATATTTTCTGAATATCCATAATACTAATATTTTATTATTAAAATTGATGGTCATTATGCTGTTAGACGTTATGTAATATTGCATCAAAATTTGAAAAAAAAACTATTTTGGGCACTGCTCCCATGATGACCATTTAAGAAAAACCATGTCACTTACTGTTCTCAAACTTACAGGAAAGAAACATAGAAGTAAAATACAGCTTCAGTAGGCAATGCAGTCTGTTTGGTAATTCTTACTGCCAGTTAAACAGGTTTTCGTGAATATTTAATTTTTCACATATTGGCATTTTCAAGGTGTGACTTTGAAGTTCCTCAGGCTTGAAGACCAATGCTAGTCACATTTTCTGAAGATCCATGATACGTATATTTTATTATTAAAAATTGACGGTCATTATGCTGTTAAACATTATGTAATATTGCATCAAAATTTGAAAAAAAAAACTATTTTGGGCACTGCTGCTATGATGACCATTATGGGAAAACCATGTTACTTATGATTGCCAACCTTTCAAAAAAGAAATACAGGACTAAAATGCAGCCTGAGTTGGAAAAGCAGTCCAATTGGCTTCTTTTTCTGGAAGTTATACATTTTCAAAGTGTGAACTTGTTACACATTTTACTTACATTGGTATTACCTCTTGAGTATAATTAAAATTTGATGTTAAATTTGCAGTTTAACATAATGTACTTTTGCATCAGAATTGACAGTAGCCTATTTTGTGCATAGTTATTTCCTGTTTTTTGTCTGTACATTTGACTGCTTTGCTGCCTTGTTTTATGTAGGTGCCCTTTTCAGTTGGCCTTTACATAGGAATAGTTCTATAAAGTGTAAAGATCCAATTCACCGATTCAGGGATTTAATATCCTTTTTCAATTTCTGTGGATACTTAAGAATCTGCATCACCCACCCCCGATTTCAAAACTTGACAGAAAACGAGTAATACATCAGTCTAAACATTTTAGTAGAAGCCTTGACATCTTTTTTTTTTCATTTTCTTTGAAGTGGTCATAATTAAATTTAAATAATTATTTAAAAATAATCATAATAAATATAATTTTAAAATAATTATTCAAGATTATTGTTAAAAACAATTCAAATGCAACCATACCTGGTTTAGTACCTTTAAGGCCTACAGCGCATTCCAAGAAATACATCTAAATTTCAAGAAATCAAGGGCAAGATGGGAAGGTTGATCACTTGGCCTGGATGCCAAATGAAGCATAACAAGCAAACAAAACCAAATGAGTACTCAAATCAAGATCCCAACATTTAAAACCATTAAAAAACCAACCAACACGTAGATCCAAAAGGTTTATTAGTCATAAAATTTTGCATGTAAAAAGTACAGAGTTCTCACAAGGTCAGCTTTGAGAGAAGAATCTTACCAATATTCACACCTAAACACCTAACAGCATCTCACTTTCCTCACAAAATTTTTACAAAATGAGGAAATGATTCTAATCTCAACTGCTGCCTGCAAGTGGGAGATAAATTGAAAAGGAAATATGAAGCATTGAATCTAAAGACAAAGCATCTAATTACGGATGTAGTTTCTCCATTCAGCAGCTCATATCAGAGTAATGGTTCCCCAATACTTTGGAAGAGGCCATGTCAACAGCCTTCTCTTTCTCAGGTGACTAAACAAACATTGAACACAGAAAAACCATACCTCTTATATTAACTGGCAATTGAAGAAACTATCAGAGTAACCGAGTAATTTACTCGGCAGATTAAATTATTCACTAAAAGACAAAACATACATTTTACATCAAATTACACTGATAATTTTCTGCACTACAGCTTAAAGCAAATACTGGACTTTTTGCACAACACTTTTCCAAACATATTCGGTGTGACAGGGGTGGATCCGTTAATGAAGACAGTTTTTTGTGTAATACTAATTTCTGATCTCCATAAATGCAATTGTTACCATTGAAAAGAATTCTGGCGGGATTGTTTATAGTCTAATTTGTGACCTGATTTTGTACATATAATTTAATCAAATTACACATCACTCAGTCGGAATGAGCACAACATAACCATCATGAGAAGTTAGTACAAATCAAAAATAATATCATTTTAAAGTAGTTATTTAAATTGCTGTCTGACCTGATTAACCCATAACATCTGCGGTTATCCTTTTTACTTTTAGGGCTTTAAAGCAAACAGAATGTACCTACTATGCCTGTGCCTGAACACATAAAACGGCAAACGTGTCATTAAAGAAACTAAATAAAAGGTATAAAATCACAATCCATTGATATCTTGCACACCTACATGACACTAATAAAGCAATGTAATGATATACAAGTGAAAGAGCCCTCTACGAATCTTAACTGCTTTACATGGTGATTTATCTTTTTTCCCCTTAATGTTAACCCTCCTTCAGACAAACATAGCATAATTTTATTCATAGTTTCACAATGGATCAAAAGTTGATGACAATAAATAGAAATATTGGTATGCTTTCGTTTTCATTATTCGTTTATGTGCAATTAACTTGGCGCACAAGACATAAAATAATGTGTAAACCTACATCTATATGAATATACTAATAAAATATATAAAACCTACAGCACATGTCCACGTTGCCCTGATGGGCTTAAAACAACATTCTGGTTTCATTTAAAACATTTTGCACATTTTCCTCCACAGTTCTTATTACCTTTTAAAAGTAGCATGACACTTGCTCAGGACACGACTTCATAACAAGGTCAAGTCATAACCTGTCAGGGTCATGACTTTCAAACTGGGTCACAAGGCTATGACCGCCAAACTGGGTCAGTATGTCATTGCAGCGACAGGGCAATGTGGCCACAAATGCACGATCTATAGAAATATATACACTGGTGTTAGGACTAATGCATAGATGCCAAGTAAGCTTGTGCAATTGTGCAACGGGCTAATGTATAATGGCTGTAATATGAAGCTTGCAGATTAACAGGTTACTACACTTACATGTTAGGATTGGTCCGATGATATCTACTGGGAGATAACATATACAGTTTACTTATAAGTGGTGTGCACAGATACCATTAAATATATATATGTACAGTTAAACAGCCAAGGTTGCTGCTACACCCTGGAGCCCATGTTAACCTGGGAAATACTGCGATGCTAGTGCTCAAATTATCCTCCTGATATAGTTTTGATAATATTAAAGCAACTCCCAGGTTCATTCAATATCTTTTCACAAATCTCTGCTTCAGTTGCCATCAGCAAAACCCACAGTCTGCCGCTTCCTCTCTATGGCATAAGTTAAACCATGTCATTTTGGAATGATCTTTTTTTTTTTCCTTCAACTTCTCTATTTTTTTTCTCATTTAACAACTCCCTTAATGCCACATTTTTGATAAAAAATTAATCATAATTCTAGTCACTTTTAAATTGACCCTTCGTATAATCAATCACTACATCAGGCCCAGTGACATAGATAGAAAATAAAAACTGTCTGTAAACTGTAATGCTTTACTGACATATTAATTCTTAACTTATTTCTAAAGATGTTGCTGAGAGCCAAGTCTTATGTTTTGATCGTAAGTGGCTTAAAGGCTTAGTACCAAAATGAAGTGAGGTCTGTTTGTTTCAAATTGTGCTTTCAATTCAAGTGAATGATCTTCTTTCACTGTGGCCATCTTAAATGCAATTTGTCATGTAACAATCAACTTTTACTCCAATGAAAAAAGTACAAAAAAATCCCATTAAATTGCAAGCACAATTTTCACTAATAGGTGAATTTTGGTAAATAAAATCCTAATCTAAGTCCAGGAATTTAGCAATTTTGTGGCTGTTCGAAATATCTGTAAGTGGGGTTCTCATAGCCGTTCATCTGCATGGCGGCAACGTGTCTCTCTTCTGGCGTCTGCTGATCGATTTCTACGAAGCCGTGATTCACTGGGGTGCGCTGTGCTCTCTTCTTTCCTACTGCAATGGCGACCAAAATGATGACCAAGACGGCGATGCAGCCCATGGCGATACCGACAGAGGAGAATGTGCTGGTGCTTTTCATTTTGCTCACAACAGGCTGATTCTGGAAAGTAACGGAAGAGAACTTATTAGAATGGTATACATACAACAGACTAGAACACTTCTGTGCTACATCCATTCTTGAGCATTTCTCTATCTTAATCTCAAGAATATCTTAAACTCTTTATCCGTTCTCGAGTATCTCTTTCTAAGCTAAATCTCAAAAACATTTTGAAAACTACATCCAAAGATAACATATCTACAAAAATACAGTTTCAGTATCGCGTCCCTCTCCTCCATAATATGACCCCCAAAAAATTTGCAGGACAATATTTCTTCCCCGTTCAAACTTACCACTTCAGCAGCGACCCCCTTGTTAGCCTGCATCAGTCCTATGACCTGGGCGCTCTGCTTCCCGTATGCGTGCTCATTCTCCATCACTTCGTCGTCAAACTTCACCACGTGCTCCTCAATGTGCACTGGCTTCGTTTTCTTGGCAGTCTTTTTCTGGGCTGGCTCTTCCACCTCAGTCTTCACAGTCAGTTTAGGCTGGTCTGTCTGCACAGGATGGTCTACACGAGAGAAAATTAAAATTTCATTAGAAATACAACATCGAGAGTAAGGAATAAGGCTCTGAGTGTGTTACATGTGCCCGCAGGAGGCGAGCAGCAGCATCTCAATGTATCGCATAGCATCCTCTTAGACATTTTGCAGGTGTTAATATAATGTAAAAATAGGACAATCCATATTCTGAAATATTCAAATCTCTCATTCAACATCATCCTAAAATTGAAACCCTTGGCCAGAATGGGCCTTCCATTGATTGACACATGACAAAATTAAAAACTCTTGATCTATTTATACGCTGACATCATAGCTGACTTTTCATGAAAGCCCACTGTTAAACTTCCATTTCATATGGAATTTTGTTGATCAGAGCCCCCCCTCCAACTCCTTCCAGATTCCTAGCTGCACCTACCTTTGGCAAACTTCTCCTTGTATTTTTCCACCAGGTCCACCTTGGCCGGGACTGGCTCCTCCATTATTTTGTCCAAAGCCTTGTCCATTCTGGCATATGTTTTCATGAAGTCAGCTGAAACCAAAATTCAAGGAAATAAATAAATAAACCCATTGGCAAATTATTTATCAACATCTTATTACTCTAACTATAACAAGGAGTAAACTGAAGTATGAAATTTGTTACAGTCTCATAGCTGACAATTTCAAGGGCATTGCTCTTTTTGGATTGAAACAGTAACGAAAACAAGTATAAAGTTTATGCAGATCAAAAAGGTAAAGTATACGGACGAAAAAAAATTTCCCAAACCATCATCTGGATACACATGACAAACGTTAAAGCTCAGAAACATGAAAATAATTGTGGATGTGAAATGAGTTATATGATACAAACACTACATCAGGTTGTATAAAAAAATGGCCAATTGAAAATAAAAAGAATGCATATCCCATAAACTAGAAAAAAATTGCGCCGACCGAAAAATCACAGTGAATTATATTTGCACTGAAGAATGATACACTGCTATAAGCCTGTTATCATACCAATTCTGGCCTTTATCTTGCTGGCGAGGGCAGGCACACGATCCAGCATGGCAATGCTCTGGTTAACACGGAGGTTTGTCTGGCTCAGGTGCTGCTTGAGGTGGTCACGCACACGATTAGCCTCCTCTGGGTCGCGTTCGCGCAGGTGTTTGTAGTGTCTCATTGTGTGCATGCGGTCTTTCTCCTCCGCACGGATGAAATGTTCCAAAGCCTCCAAGATCTCTGCTCCCTAATAATATAATATAATATAATATAATATAATATAATATAATATAATATAATATAATATAATATAATATAATATAATATAANTACAAAATGCGATGAACAAAAGGTCTCTGGCATTTACCATTCCAGAATAAAAGCAAGTTTTCAGTTTCGGTATCTAATGGCTGCTTCTCCTGTGAAATTGCACCGATTGACCCATAACTCCCAAAGATGAAAGGAGTCCCCAATTGTAACCTCTCACTACAACAGGAGAGCTTAGATCTGTGTAGTTTCCAAAAAAAAGCACAAACAAATATTTTTTGGCAGAAAATTCCCATTTTTAGAAAATTTTGGCTTGTTTGACCTTGAAAAAAAGGTCAAAAGTCAAATCCAATGGCATAATTGGAATCTCCACATATGCCTTTCGGTCAGACTTCTGTAGTAATTTTTCCCATAATTCCTTTGGATTGGGAGATATTTAGCCTTGAATTTTCAAAAATTTTGACAAGGGTGCGTTTCAACAAGTGTCACACCCAGGCCAATGCACCGACAGAGACAAAAAAACCAGGGTGTTCAAGTTGAGATTATATGTGACCTAAATCCAAGAGATGGGGACACAGGTCCTGGCGGTCTAGGAGGAGAAGCGGTAACGGTGACTTGTTTCCGGCGCCCGACTGCGGAGCCGCATGAGCCGGCGGAGCTGTACGAGACGGGTCGGGACTAAAACCATGAGTACCGCCAGCGTATACGCTGGTGGTACTAATTAGCAGATATGAGAACTGTATAAACTTCTCAAGCCTTGGACTTACATCTGGGATATCCCTCTGCAGGGCCTTCAGGTATTTGTCAATTGTCATGCGCTTCTTGGTGTTGAAGTTTGTCTGCACATGTTGCTCGTGGACAGCCTCTAGCTCACGTTTCTCTCCCAAGTTCTCATTTTCAAGGGCCTGGTATGTCTTTTCAAAACGCTAAAATGTGGAGAAAGAAAACGTAAGTCGGAACTTTTTCCATTTGTAAAATTTTAATACCTTATGACCAGTTCTACTAATTCATTCTCTCGTGCTATATTGTGAGATTTCCAAATATAACAAATCTTATATTATAGTAACTTAAATAATTGGTCCCTGTAGAAATCGATGGGCCACTGATTAATGCTTTTATCCCAAGTCAGTTTGTCTTCCAACTATAGATCAGTGTGTAGAATTAGAACTGTATTATAATCATCACAATCATTATTATTTTTACTACTAAATCTTTCACTAACCTCTGTTATTTCCTTCTTCATCTTCTCGGCTCCCTTGGGATCCTTGGCGCTAAGTTCCACAACACGCGCCCGCGCCGCGTTCCACTCTTTCATCAACACGGTGATCTTGTCTTGATGGACAGTCCTCATCTTCTTCTGTGCCAGTTTGAAGTGTTCATGCTCATCAAAGTACTCGCCCAGACGTCCCTGGTGGAGGTACTTGGCTAAGTAGTCGTCCTTGGGTTTTTTGTCCTTGACTTTTTCTTTCTGAGGAGGTTTTGTTGGCTCGGCGGTGATTGGGATCTCTTTCTCTGCGGGCACTGCTGCCTTGTGTGTTACCACCTCTGTAAAGAAACAATTCAAAATATGTTGCTAAGCAAGAAGATATTCGATTTTTCCCCTTTATTTTATATGTAGGTTGCCATTTTATTTACCCGATTTAATTTCTTTTCTTCATTTTCATCATACTTACCCTGGCACAGGTCTTTTGCTACCCACTGTAATACTGACAATATGAAACCAAAAACTCATTAAACTGAACTAGTTTAAGCTTCTGCTACATAATCACGAAATGCAATTCCGTTTTCACTTTCGAACAGAATCAATGCTTCAACCTCAACAGCACTCTAAAAGAATAAATTGTTCTGTCACAATCAAACTAGTTAGTAACATAAAAACAACATAATTTTGCTTTGTTTACACTTATACAAGCCATATTACCCTCTTCCTCCTTCCAGATTCCTGTTACATTTCTTTTTATCCAGCAAAACCCCAGGCACAATCCATTCTCAACCTGTCACACCTAACACATTCAACAAAGCCAGGCATTCTCACTAACCCATCCCCCTCCCTGATTACACCTAAACATGCAATGTAACCATTCAGCACATATCAAAGTACACTAGAGGCAGCTAACTGTCCCACGATAACATACATCAACTGTCTTTGCATGTACTTAGAGATGGTAGCTATAGATCATTTTGCACTTTAAAAACAACCCTGTCAATGACTGTCTGCACAGACTGCTGCTTCTGTCACACCTGGGGCTAACTACGGAGAAAAATTGCTTAAAAAATTTTATACATCTCATTTACTTCAGTCTATCATTTTCTCCTCCAAAGATTTATCAATTTTTGTTAATCACTCAACATACTTTGTCAGATGAACCAAAACCCTCCCCGGTGGATGCCTATCAAGACACCTTTGGGAAATACACTAGATCAATTTTGTGGGAAAACTAACCTTGGATCTGTTTTTAAAATAGATGAAGCCATATGGTTTTGTACAGTTTTTCATAAGCACATATGTGGCTAGCTATCTAAATGACAGCGAAAAGCATATATCCATTGCCTGTAATTTTTAGACAGGGTGGTACATACATACATATAACATAGCAGTTTGGAGACAAAATCAAAAGTACTTATCTTCTTTAATGGCACTTATACATTTACCATACAGAGGTTAACAAATAAATGTATATATATATATAAATTTTTTTTTTAATTACACCAGTATTGGCCCGAACAAACATCCTTTTCAACACGTCTGAATACCACTTATGATACTCACCAATCTAACAGTGCTATCTTAACAATGGTCAGAGGCAACTCACAGTAAACAAATCTATACAAAGCAGTACATGGGATTTTATAAGATCTATTCTAGAATGTTGGAAGCAGTTTCTACACAGACAAATATTGCAATGAAAAGAACATGCTTTTTATTGTACAAGAGGTGTTAAGCTTTCATTCTTGATGGCAAGGTAGCGTACAATTCATCACATAAGAATAATGTAAGGGAGCATTCATTTTTCCTTAATTTCTTTTTAGTAGGGAGCATACCTTTATTATCTTTAGGACAGCACACGAACTCCACTCCAGTAAACACATCGATGCCACACGGCAACAACATGGCGGAACTCTGGCGCTGCATGCCCTTCTCCTCGCACCAGCTGTTCGCCTCATAGGTCCAGTCGTTGAAGGTCAGACACTTTTCCTTCACGCGAATGTGCTGAAACACGCAGTGCTCGGGAACAAGCAGGGCGTCGCTCACGAACTTGCCGACTACAAGGAAATGATATGAACATGCTGGTTTATATGAAGGTGGCAGGCAGTTCAGTCGGATTTCCAGTCAAGATGGGACAGCTCAACTTAGTCCATGCTATCAGAACAGATTGGGATTGAGGTTACTAACCATCTTCTTTACCACAACAGGGGCTTCTTATGGTTAGAAATCCTAATCGCACTACCTGCCCAGATAGCAGAGACTGAAGGTGGTGGTCACAGCTCCAATGGGAATGCGACCTTTATGTGTATAGGTAAATACTGTGGTATAATTAGGGCAAAACCTACAAGCAAATTTATTGCCAATTCAGAATTCACAAATACTGATTTCATCGCTTAAATGATGAATCCAGTCAGGTTTCTTTCCTCCTTTTTAACAAAAAGAATTCTGATGTCAGCTAATGTGCTTTTGTAAGTTGGTTTTATCCCTAATTATGACAGGCTGAAGTCAGGAAAGCTTGAACAATTGGAGGGGGAGAGAGGGGGGGGAATGTACTATTAGCAATATATGTATTACTTATGTATTCATGCTTTGGAAACAACATAAAATGTACTATGCATCGAGTTTCTGCTAATATGCAATACATATTTATGACTACATATCATATTTAAGGATTAAATATTGACAAGATGCATAAAGCAAAATGTTCTAAACATGTCATAAATCATTATATATTAGTATTTTTTTAGATATCAATTACACATTCTATTTGATAATATGTAATGTAATATTATTTCCTACGCAGAATGTGGAACACTCTTTCATCAATTTTCCAAATTGGACACGGGAAACTTTCATACATCAGAAACGCTGGCAAATAAGCAGACAATAAGACTCAAAAGTGCAGTTTGTTAATCATTGTTAAAACCAGTAACTATCAATTGATGGACTGCCACAGGAAAAAAAAAGACACATATCCCTGTCACAGAAACAATTTCATCATTATAAAACACAGACTGATATTATACAGAAGACTTATGTAGCACCCGTCAACAGCCAATACTGTTGCAGAACAGAGAACCCTGGAGACGCATTTAGACAAGGCTTTTTAGAGATCGAAAACGGATTCAAGTCCCATTAATGCAAGATTGATTCAAAAGAGACAAAGGGCAGACTTGTACCTGCATCCTGGTCGAGACCATTCTAAACAGATCAAATATTGAGTCTGAATCACCAATCAACAACAACATCACAAAAGAGCTCATCTTATTAAGAGTCACGACCTGTTTTACAAAGCCAAGTTTACGAAATGGCTTCATTTTAAGGAATTAAATTTTTTTTTTAGGTCTTTGTTCCCAATGTACTACACCATCTAAGGGGGCCTATTGCTTAAAACAGCTTAGTGTGACAAACTCCTTACTTTCCAATACAACGAGAGAGATGAATTTCTGATCTATTTTACACCAAAGTAGTGTGGTTGGAACGCAAACCATCAGAGCTTAACAGAAAAAAAAAAAAAAAAAAAGCTTTTATATTATTAGTCTGCTCTGTAAATTATTCATTGTACTTAGTCTGGGAGTGATTCATGCAGTATTGTATTCCATTATATCTTGATCTGTCTCTATTTTATATGGTGAGGGTTAATACAAAGTAGGCTTCCTACTGAAACCATGGTCTATTAACCGCATCAAGTTCTGACATTTTAATGTGCAATTCTCTGCTTTTTATCGATTTAGCTGGAGTCTTAGTAAGCCGAGTATGTCATCCCCACACGGCAATACAGGATGTGTGAATTACTTTGATCTAAGCCGATTCAGCCAATTTGAAAATTCTATTTACTTTTTCTCCTTATTTTCAGCAAAATCATGCAGAAATGGTCAAAATCACTATGCAGACTTCTTAATCTCATTTTCTTACATTTGTTTCATTTTTTACATGTAGCATTTGGCAACCACCTGATATTTTAACCGAGGGAGGAAGGGGAGGGCAGGAGGGGCAGCTGGGGGGGGGGGAGAGAGGGCCCCATCTGTGTATAACTAATCCCCAGTACTCAGCTGCAGGCTATCACACAAAAGACCCTATAATATGTCCATAGAGGCAACTTAGTCATCCAACTAAAGGCTTGTCATTAGATAGCTCCCCCTTCTGGATCCCAGACTGACTGATAATATAGTGTATAGTGTACAGTGAACAGTCTGCTGAGAACTGCCCATTATAACTCTGCCCCTGTTGTGAGACAACATTTATTTATTTATTTATTTTCCAAGTGGAACATGACACCCTTGGTACTCATAACTGGTACACAGAGTGGCACAAGGTCATGGTTGTGACTTTTTTCTCTTTACCAAAGGGGCATCACTACCGAGTCATAACCGTTTCAGAGCAGCACAAGATCATTGTTATGCAAACGGCTCCCGGCTGCCTCATCAACCCATCCATCTACCATTACAATACCAGACCAGTTACACTGTCATCATGTTACAGCTTAACTACCAGGCTGATGGTTCTGCTGAATGTATAATGAATAGACAATGTATGCCAGTGGGCGGGTGACAGGGTTGGGATAATTAAGGTACATTCACAATGAAATTATCATACTAGATAGATCGATCCAACTCTGCTCGGACTCATGCTGAATGCAATCCGATTAATGGAATGATGTCTCCTCAAGCAGCTAGGCAGTGATCAACTTTGGTGTGTTCAGACGCACTCAAAAGGAAGTAAAAGAGCTTCCAGAAGCTGAGCACACTATAAAGTGTATCACCCTCTAGCTGCCTTAGGAGGCGTGTCATTCAGTTAATCTGATAGCACTCAGTGAGAGTCCCCCCCTCCAGGTACGTCATGGGAGTTCACACTTGGTGATCACATGATAATGACAGGACAGCCCAATTACCAGTCCACGTCAGATGTAGATTTTAAGTGGACAAGTCCACAAGGCAAGAACTTGTGAATCTTCCTGAAGAACTTTATCGTTCTGTCAGGTAATTTACTGTTTATATCGTAAAAGGTTACTGTCTTTTACCTTTACACTCATCATGGGCTCTTCGTTCCTTTGCTGATGAAGATGTTGTGAAATATTATTCAAACTTATATCAAGAACAAATTGACTTCACATATATAAAACATTTTTAGTATTTTTCTTTGTATATGAAGACACCCTTTTATTAGATTACCTTCATCATGGCATATTTCAAATGAAAGATGCCAAATATCAATTTCAACTGTGCAGGTTTTTTTTTTTTCATCCATGCCACCACTTGCAAACCATGTATTCCACCTTCTGGAATAATACACTAGCAACCTCTGATTTTTTACATTGTTACAGTGTTTGTTAAAATTCACTGACATTATACTCGACTCCTAAAGTGCTACTTCACATTCATGTCAGGAAGCACCAGAACTATTTCAAAAGAACTAACAAGGGAAAACTCTCCCATTTCCACCGTTTCTTGGAAAAAGCATTTCTCCCCATCTTATCAATCTCAAAAATAATGAATTGCCGATTCTTTTGTGACAAATCTGGGACTAATATTCATGGAATGCGTCCACCGCTCCAAACAAGTTATCTTATCTTCTAGGAAACTATTTCTTGGGGGGTAACTTTCCTGTACTTCCCGGCCAGGTGATCAATTTTCCAAGGAATATTTATTGGAAAAGCATCAAATCTGAAGAGTTTACAAGATTTCGAGATATGAGGGTCAGATCAGAGGGGTCCTTTGTTTCCAGTTACCACTCGACTTCCAGCAAGGAAAGTATTGTCCGATCTACGATTGCTGGGGAGATACCTTTCCTGAACTTCAGAAGCAGGTGATTGATTTTCTAAGAAGTATTGATTGTAAAAACATCAAATCTGAAGAGTTTACAGGAATCCGAGATATGGGGGAGGGGGGTCAGATCAGAGAGGTCCTTAGCATCCAGTTACAAGTCATAATTCTGTAAAGAAAAGTGTTGTCTAAACTATTTTGGATAAGGTGTAAGTGGTATTTTTACTGATCTAACCAATAATTACCACTTCCACCGAAGATTTTGCCTCTGTTTAATTAATTAATTAATTAATGGTTAATTATGTGTTAATTATTTGTCTTGGCAGAGGTCTGCACTTCGAGTGATTTTCTAGTTTGGAATGAAATTGTCATTAGACAACTCAGAAAATTTATTTGTTTATAAAAATACTGTTCCAACACACGTAGGAAGATGCTGTCAATTTTCAGTAGTGGGATGGTTGTTATTTTCCTTTATTCCTTTGGAAACCATATGAAATATAGTCAATATTGTATTTACAAATTAACATTATTTATAAGAGACAGAAGGCTGTTTATGCCATAATATCATAACCTTGGGGCAAAAATGTTCAAAAACCACAGGAAAATTCTTAAATGCCATCTTGCTACATCGATTATCTCCTCATTACTGTCGTTCTATTTTAGCTGCCATATGACATCACGCCGTGCCTTTATCTTCCAATGAAAACATGTTTATTCCACGGCCACTGAGTCAATATCTCACCAATGCTGAGGAGCTGGTTATTAGCAGATCCTGTATATGTAGAATGTGTGGAATACCAGACCATGGCTTTCATCCCATGAGCCATTTCATGTATATATTATTATGATAACAATGATTTAATTTGCCAGAGGATTATCACACATTACTGGAACATTTAGTACCATTACGCACTAAAACAGCCAGAAATCTTTTTATTTCATCAATAATTTAATTAATTTCGTTCAATACTTAATGCAGTGGTGTGATACGAAAACCCACATGTGACATCATCTTACATGTGAACAATTTCTTAATTTGTTGCAGCTATGAGCTTCATTCCCTGCAGGCCAACTTCCTACTGCACAGTCAATTATTCTACCCACAGAGCCACTTTTCACTTCAGCATATGATTTGATTTTAACTTACACAGCAGAGCCATCCCCAGAGAAGCTCACAATACACCAGCCATTACCCCCTCATTAATCTGACAGCCAGTTTTAATGGGTAAATTTCTAGTTTATTGGCCGTAAGTGGTTTTTGATGTAGTAGAGCAGTATGGTTGAGTTCTATGGTTCACAAACAGAGTTCACGGCCAATGTCGCATCTGATCACATCTGCATGTAAATGTCTCAGACAGAAGTATGAGAAATCACAGTGCAAAGTCATTAAATCAGAAATCGAGTCACTAATGCTCCATTCTGAGTCACAAACAGTAGTTTTGTTTATTAGACCAGACTTTGCATGGGGGTGAGGGGGGGATTACTGGGTAACATACCCGAAATAGGCCTGCATCCACACGCCAAAAACTGAAATGCAAAATTTTGACAGGAAACTTACCCAGACACTTGAATGGCCGCACTTTGTGTGAGCTGTGGTGCTTGCATGTCTTATGTCCCTTCTTACACCAGCCGTCAATGGTCACCTCGTCGCTGGCCTCCACTACGTTGGTGATGTCCAGTTTAGGGTATACCTAGAACATGAGAGGATGAAATGATGAAATTGACAATTTTTTAAAAATTTTTCTTTCTGTCCTTTTTTTTTTTTTTGAAAGGGCGTGTGTGTGTGTGTGTGGGGGGGGGGGGGGGGGGGTTTAAATCA